GATCTAAGGCTGCATGAGAATGCTTCAAGAAACCCTAGTCGATGCTCTGATACCAAGTAGGAATCTACTGAATTAAAAAATACGAAAGAAAGTAGTTTCTTGAAGAGAGAAGGAAGAGAGAAGGAGAAGAAGAGAAGTTTGGAAGAAGAGAGAGCAATAATCTGGCCGCCCCCCTTCACTTATTATTTATACTAAAATAATAGACCAGTACAAAGACAACTATGCCGTTATAGGGCGGCAAAACATAAAATAGCATATATAACACACAAAAACATAATAAAATTTGGACTCACATAACTATTGTGGTCTCCACCTCCTATCTAACAACTAACATAAAACATCTACTCAGAAAAACATCATAAAACTAATTAATCTTCAACACAATCAAAACCTACTGATCAGCCAACTTGTAAAGTCATGGACAGCTGTCACATAAGTTCCCCACTCCACACCAATCATCTTCCCAGAACCTTACTCCAGACCCTTCACCTACATTGAATCTTATCAAATTCTTAAGTCCTGGTTAAACCTCATTATACCTTCCAGCCCTCCCTTGGCTCCCATCCCTTCCCCTACATTGAACCTTACTCTAGACCCTTCCCACTACTTTCTTATTCTTCCGCCATCACTTCTCTCTCTTCAATCTCCTTCTTTTCTCCTATTTTTTTTCTTTTAATTCATATTATTGCAGGTGAGATTTAAACTGGTGACGTGAACAATATGTGACTATCTTATTCCAGTAACTCTATGAGATTTTTTGGATGTCACCATTTCAGCCACATCTAAATCTTTCTTAGCCTCCCCCTCCTGCCCAAATCCACACCTATCCTTCCAATCACCACCTCCTCAAATAACCAGTGATCAACAACAGCACCCTCGGTTTGGGGCAGGAAACAATGGTTCAAAACAAAGTTTCCACTTCCTACATCACCAACACTATGATCTCCTCCTATTTCAGCAACAACAGCCCCTCTCGAGTCCTCCCTCTCCTTCAACCCAGTCTCATGTTCTTTGTGGATCTCACTAGTAACATTAAGCAAAACTTCTTTCACAATAGAAGTAGAGACTGTAGACGACATACCACTGTTCTCCTCTACTGTCACAGCTTCAAATTCCTCCACAGATTCAACCCTATTTCAAACGCAGCAAACAGCAGCATCATTGCTATTACCAAGGGTTCGAACAACATCACGATTAGTACGTCCCTCTGCAGACTTCACAAAGACCTCCTTGCCTCTATCAAATCTGAAGATTGCCCATTCCCAACTCATTTCTATTCCCCTTCGATCCTTATCCAAACAAACTTTGCTCGATCTCCTACGCCTAAAATCTTCTGAACGTTTAAAAGTTACTATGCTCCTTCTGTTTACCCGTGCAAAGACAATTCATGTATGTGGAACATATTGCTAATTATGTATGTACATAATTTTCACATGCAGGAATATTCATCCAACCCCACAGTCCAAATGAGGCTTTAACTCTACTGCTAAAGTTGAGCCATGACTATTTGGTCCAGTGAAACCTCAGGCTGTATGGGCCCCTACTTTGAACCAGGACAGGTTGGGTTTAGGCTGGCATAGCCCAAGTTGACAAGGAACCACAAAATTGTTGTACTTGTAATCCATATGGCTAGGTTATAGAAACAATTTTTCATAAATAAAAGAATGAATCACTTACCTGTAGAGAAGATCCCCACTAGGAACCAACTTCTTGCAAATCCAATCTGGAGCCAACTTTTCCAACAGCTCAAGTTGTTCTTCAACTTCACCTATAAAGTAGAACCAGCAAAGTTCATCCATTACCCATATTATAGTATAAATAAAACACCTATTTAATCGCAATCAAGCCTGTACATACTTCTTTCAACAATATCAAAATTATTCAAGATTATTTTGTGCACAAGCTCCTCTTTTGTGATTGAACAACTGCTGGCAGAGTGAAATATTCTGTGTATCAGATCAAATAAATCACGCAGTGAAATATTCTGTGTATCACAACTTTTTTTACTCGTATTCTGATCCTTCATAATGAAGCTGTTATTTTCCTTGTCCTGCAAAGCAATAATTGTAATAGTTATTATGACAAACAAGACAAAGAGCAAATATACAAGTAGATGAGGGAAGCAAGTGGTGCAAATAAAAGTCAAAATGTAACATTTATACAGATTTCTTCAAATATATATCTAACATTAAAAGGTGTTGAGTTTTGGGCTGACTTCAGTACATCACTTGTTTTCTATTTACATAGCATAGTTAAGGAGTTATTGGGCCCAAGGCCCATTACTTTATGTTAAGTTAAGAGTGTTTATTTAGATTTTACATGTAGCCGACTTACTAAGGGCAAACTTGTCTTTATATTCAGTTTTTATTTGTGAGTATATAAGCTAATGAAAGGGACGGCCAGACCTAATTTTAGCTTCTCCCATTCTCTTCAATTTCTCTCCTCTTTTCTCTCTGCATAAACCCTCTCTTCTCTTTCTTTTTCCCTTTCTTACACAGATTTTATATCAAAACAGATCTTCTACACTTTTCTACTAAAGGAATTAAAAACCAATTTTGACAGTCTAAGCATCTGATCCACTTTTTCATAAGACCACCAGATATAGTTTTATGATTGTCAAAAAAGATAACAAAAGACTGAACTGCTTGAATGATATGTTTGGGCATAAGAAGTAATCTTTCCAAAAGTCACTAAACCAGGCTAGAAAACTTCAAGAACTCCAGCACTCGATTATCTCATGTAGTCAGCTGGACTAAGACTGCATGAATCCGAAAATATGCTCAGATTCAGTAATCTTATCTGAGGGAAGGGTTGCAGTAGAAGAAAGAAGAGAAGAAAGTGTGAAGAAGAGGAGAGGAAGAGGGATTGAAGAGAAAAGACATTTGAACTCAATAGAGTCCCCAATTTCTTTTATACTTTAAGAAAGAATAGGTAGAATTATAAGGCAGCAGCAGTGATAACTATAACATAAGAAAATGGGATGGACACCAATAGTTCCAAAGCACATGTGAGCTTAGCAGACAGACAAATAGTCACGCATTTGAGGTCACTACATGTACCCGAGGAACCGCACATGCAAAGTCCTCCCCCAGGTCCCCCATTCCCCATGTCGGCTGAGGAAAACCAACCTCTTGCTTTATATATACATATATAGATTTAACAGGCAGAATTTCAAGACTGCCCTTCCTAAGACGGCAGAAGTTATAACTATGATAAACATATAAGAAAATAGACCTGCCTATAAAGGAAATCCCATGACTGATAAACAAACAAACAAAAAAAGAGTAAACAGCAATAAACATCATTCTTTTCTACAAAACTTAAGGCTGTGTTTGGTTTGAAAGAGAAAGTAGGGAAACCTGTATCATAGAAGTTCAGCATTTTTTGTAATGTCACGGTATTTTACTGTAATAGATAAATATGGACAATGAGGCATAGTATTATATTGATGTTAAGTATAAGTATCAGCAAAGTCATCATCATCATCCAAGCCTTATCCCAACAATATGGGATTGGCTACATGAATCCTTCCATTCCATTTAATGCCATATCCACTGTTAAATTATTGGCGCTTAAATCATTTCTTACTACTTCTATCCATATCCTTTTTGATCTACCCCTTACCCTTCTAGCCCCTTCAACTTTTAACAAATCACTTCCTCTTATGGGTGCTGTTGATGGTCTTCTATGCACATGATCAAACCATCTTAGTCCACTTTCTCTCATTTTATAACCAAACCATCTTACTCCCAAGTTCCTACGAATGGTTTTTTTTCTAACCCTATCTTTTCTGCCACACTCGTTTTCTGGAAATGTTGTTTCTTAGAACGGTCTTCTATGCACCCCTTCATTTTGCCCATCCTGTTCTAATTCTACGGGCGACATCCTCCTCAATCTCTCCCTTGTTATGAATTATTAAACCAAGGTACAAAAAAATGACACATTGAGTCATCTCTTGGTCCAATCCTAAGTGCACCCTGATTTGCACTCCCATTGATATTAAATTTGCGTGCCACATAGTTGGGACAAGACTTAGATGATGGTGATGATATTATGTTTTAGGCCTACTTTTTTTATCAAAAACTGAAACATATTCAATGATATGGAAGAAAATTAAGCATCAGACTTACAACAGGGAGAGATAAACACTCTTATCTCTCCCGAAAGAAAGAAAGAAAAAACTTACAAAACTGCTCAGAACAGATGGCTTCTTCCCACCCCTTGTTTAGCCAACGTATCAGCAAAGGGATTAGCATCCCTTTTTACCCATTGAATACAAACCTCCTGAATATGTTTTAGGCCTACTTTAAAAGCTCTTGTTTCTAAGGCATTTGTCCATAAGCTTAATTTTAGATTTAATTCTTCGTTAGTTTCATCAGTTAAAGCAATGGCATCAGCAAACAACATGCACCATGAGACCTCCTGAATATGTTTAGTCAATTCATCCATGACCAATGCAAATAAATAAGGACTAAGTGCTGAACCTTGGTGAAGGCCCATGATTACTGTAAAATCTGACCCTTCTCGCACAGATGTTCTAACATTGGTTGTTGCACCATCATACATTCCTTATTTAGGTTTATATACCTATTTTGAACCCCTTTTTTCCAAGACCCACCATATTATCCCTCTAGAAACTCTATTGTATGCTTTCTCTAGAGCAATGAACACCATATGGAGATCACTCTTTTTCTCTCTAAATTTTTCTATCAATCTTCAAAGATACTTTCCATGGTTGATCTCCCTGACATAAAACCAAAATTGGTTCTCTGATAGTATTGTCTTCAAAACATTATGAGACTATATATTTTTTTTTATCAATAACAGAAACTTTTAATAAGAAAAAGAGATGGAAGAAGATACAACAGGAGGGAGGGGTAAAATCTATTAACCCCCCCTAAAAGCAAACATCAAATTACAGCAAAGCCCAAAAGAAACTAGCTCTTCCCACTCCTTGTTTGGCCAAATAGTCTGCCAAAGAATTGGCACTCCTCTTGGGACCACTGAAACTGAAATTGCATGTTTTGAGTGAGCTGGTTAATTTTCTTTTTTTCATTCGAGAACTTCCACAAACTAACATCTTTCTTCTGCAGCCAGTTAATAGCCTACCTAGAGTCGCCCTCCACCAGCAACTTTCTAATATTCAGCTGTTGAGCTCTTTTTGTCCCTTCCAAAACTGCCAAAATTTCAGCTCTCAGAGAATCCCCCAACCTATAAGGCCTGAAAACTTGGCCATAATTCAACCTTCTTCATCCCTGAACACTCCGCCTATACCTGAAGGGCCTGGTTTCCTTTGGTACTGCCGTCAAAATTCAATTTAGTGAACCCCAAAGTTGGAGGAGTCCAAGTTGGAACAGGGGAATTAATCAACCGAAAAGACTAGGCTACTTCTTTCCACTTTCTGATGATATCTCCTGCTGAATAGCCTTCAAAGAGCTTCATAGTCTTGACCCAATGAACCACCCTAACATAGATTAAATCAATGATGGCTTCCTTGCTCTTTTCTTTTTCATGGAAAGTTTGTTGATTCCTTTCCTCCCATACTGTCCAAAATACAGCTGCTCTCACACATCTCCACAAAATTTTACCTCTCTTTTTCAAACCCCTCACTGAAGTAGAATTAAAAAAGCTGTGCACACTTAGGGGGTGGGCCACATGCAACCAAAAAGAGAGAAAAACCAACACCAGATTTCTGATACAAAAGGACAGGAAAGTAATAAGTGATAACAGCTCTCACCATTCTTTTTGCATAAGATGCACCAATGCGAGGATAAACACCAATTTGGCCTTTTCTTTTGAAATAAATCACTAGTGTTACACTTTCCTAGGATAGCTTCCCAGCAAAAAGCACCTACTCTGGGAGAAATTGGTCTACCCCAAACTTCCAATACTGGGAAAGGAAAATCAAGGGCCCAGTGGGAATGAGTTAATTCTTTGAAAAAAGAAGAGCAAGAAAATCAAGGGCCGAGGGAGTAGGAGCCCAAATCCTACTGTCCACTCTAGAGGGATCAATAACTACTTCATCCAGAATCTTGAGCAAATTAGAAATGGAGCCCAATTCAGAGTCTCTAAGAGCCCTTCTAAAGCCCAGATTCCAATCAGGAGCAGAATTAGAAAAAGTTAGGAAGGTGTCTACATGCTCATAGATTGTACATGCATCATAGACATACCATGTACTGTCCACTCTATATATAAATTACAGTTACATGATTGTACATGCATCATAAACATACCACGTACTTTTTGTAATATAAGGCACTGCATCTTTGTTTTTACAAATCAAAACAATTATCATTTTTTTTTGTAAAAATCTATTATAATCTAATCTGCACTTGAATTCTGTTAGAATAAGGATTGGAGAAGTAATAGAAAGACTAGAAGAAGTAGAAGAAGAATACTGGTTCGAACAAGACAGAAGAAATACTCTCTAGTCGGCCAGGTTTAATTTATATGTTTCTATTCAAAAACAAAACAACTCCTTTGCCCCTACTTGAGTATGGGACACAACCACTAGTAAAACATTACACATCAGCAGCTTTAAACATAAATATAAAGACCAAAATACCCCTACATAGTCGACATTAACACTCCCCCTCAAGCTGGTGAGTATATATCATATAGTCCCAGCTTGTTACATATGTAGCCCACTCTCCCCCAACTGATGTGGACAATAAGACAAGTTACATGTAGTACATCAAGTATATAGCAATAAGCACAACAAATACCAAGCTGAAAACAACAAAATAAGTTGGATTTTTATTGGTTTCAGACCTAAACCTGAAGTAAAACTCCTCCTGGAACAGTTCCGCTACAGTAACAATGGCAGCAAGCTGGCCTCCCGCGTGGACACACAGCGATGGAGGGATTGGAAGGTGCCAAAATGGGTCGACTCCTCAAAACCCAAGATCCCAATACTTGAAAACCCTAGCTGGGGTCGAGCTACAGCTCAAACAAGAGAGAAAGAACCAAAAAGACCCCTACAGAAACAACCCCCTTCTCTTTTATAAGACTCACTGGCTTGCCGGACAAGCTACTTAAAATATTTACACA